GTTGGATCCTAACATCCTCCCCCACTTAAGGTGTCGACGTCCTCATCGACTTACAAAATATGACTAAGGAGACTAAAGTTCTTGATCCTAAGGTCTCTGCTGAAGAGGTGTTGCGCTGTCTGCTCCTGATGCTGGCTCGGTTGCTGATGTTGCGGCTTGAGTCTTCTTGATCTGGGTGGTAGGGCTTGAGGCGGCTGACGTGAAAGACTGGGTGTATCTTCATCCATGCTAGAGGTTCGATCTTGTACGCATTCTTCCCTATCCGTTTTATGATGCGGATGGGGCCTTCGTATTTTCTGATCAATCTTCGATCTCTTCCTCTCAAAAACTTCAATTGTTTGGGTAACACTTTCACCATCACCATATCCCCAACATCAAACTCCAACGGTCTTCTGTTTTGATCAGCCCACTTCTTCATTCTCATAGCTGCTCGCTCCAAGTAGGCCCGAGCAATCTCTGTGTTTTGCTCCCACTCCCTTTTGAATTCTCGAGCTTGAGTACTTCGTCCGGCCTCGGTGTCTGCTACTGTGTGAGGCAAGAGAGGTTGTTGGCCCATGGTCAGCTCGAAAGGGCTCTTGTTTGATGAGGAGCTCTTTTGGGCGTTGAAACAAAGCTGAGCTACATCGAGGAGTCTTAGCCAATCCTTCTGATTGGTACTGACGAAGTGGCGCAAATATTCTTCAAGTAACCCATTGAATCTCTCCGTCTGCCCATCTGATTGTGGATGATGACTTGATGACATATTGAGTTCTGACCCCATCATCCGAAACAACTCTGACCAGAATATGCTTGTGAATCTCGTGTCTCTGTCGTTCACTATACTCTTGGGGAGTCCCCAATACTTCACAACGTGCTTGAAAAATAATGAGGCAGTTTCTTCAGCACCACATGCCTTTTGCATTGGAACGAAGGTAGCATATTTTGAGAATATATCTACAACCACCATTACTGCGGAGAGCTGGTCCACCTTTGGGAGGCCACTGATGAAGTCCATGGATACACTCTCCCAAGGGCAAGTAGGGATTGGTAACGGTTCAAGGAGCCCACCGAATTTCTGTCGGTCGACCTTGTCTTGTTGACACACCAGACAAGTTCTTGTGTAGTTCATCACGTCCTCTTTCATCCCCGGCCAATAGTATCCTGTGCTCAGTAAGCTGAGTGTCCTTTGCCAACCCGGATGACCTGCCCATAGCGTGTCGTGGCATTCCCTCAAGAGCATCTTTCTCAAACCACCTGCTCTAGGGATGAAGAGTTTCTTTCCTTTAGTGTAGACGAGTCCGTCTTCCATCCAGAAACGTCTAGTTTTCCCTTCTTCAATCAGTTTCTTGATGGTTCCTGTCATCGGATCATCTCCTAAGTAAGCTTTGACTTGATCACGCACAGAGGTAGCGACGTTGCTTGAAGTTAAAGGGGCTAATATTTGTAGGGGTGCCAGGTCTCCTCGCCTGCTCAGCGCATCTGCTACCCTGTTGCTAGCCCTTGTCCTGTATGCAAACTCTACATCGAACTCAGCTAAGGATTCTTGCCATCGAGCCTGTCTTCCCGTCAACTTAGGCTAAGAGAGAAAGTGGGTTGCAGCAGTATTGTCGGTGCGGACGATGAACTTCGAGCCCAACAAGTAATGTCTCCAGCCCCTAAGGCAGTGCACAATAGCTAGGAGTTCCTTTTCTTGTGCTGCGTACTTCCTTTCCGTACTGTTCAACTTCCGACTCTCGAATGCGATGGGATGGCCATCTTGGAGTAGTACTCCTCCCAAGGAAAAATCGGAAGCGTCTGTCTCTACTTCAAAGGGTTTGTTGGGGTTAGGGAGAGCGAGGACTGGCTCTCTCACTACTGAATCTTTCAATTTCTGAAAAGCTTTTTGCTGTTTCTCTGACCATTCCCAACGACGATCCTTCTGCAAGAGGTCGGTGAGGGGACTGGCTAACTCGGAGTATCCCTTGATAAATCTGCGGTAATAATTTGCCAAGCCTAGAAAGGACCGAAGCTCGGAAGTGTTCCTTGGATCTTTCCAATCCTAAATTTCTTGTATCTTCTTTGGATCCATCCTTATGCGGCCTTTACCTATAAAGTGTCCCAAGAACCCAACTTCTTCTTGGGCGAAAGCACATTTTTCTCGCTTGACGAACAGATGATGTTTTCGCAGCTTCTCAAACACCTTTCTCAAGTGGTCGAGGTGTTCTTCAAAGGTCTTGCTATAAATTACAATGTCATCCAGGTACACCACTACAAATTTGTCGAGAAATTCATGGAACACTTGATTCATCAAGGTGCAGAAGGTTGCGGGGGCATTGGTCAACCCAAACGGCATAACTAGCCACTCAAAGGCTCCATATCTCGTCACACATGCGGTCTTCGATTCATCTCCTTGAGCAATGCAAACCTGGTGGTAGCCAGATTTCAGATCCAACTTCGTGAAGAACACTGCATCCCCTAGTTGATCGAACAAGTCCGCCACCAACGGAATGGGGTAATGATTCCGCACTGTGACCTTGTTGAGGGCTCGGTAGTCTATGCACAATCGGAGGCTCCCATCTTGTTTCTTCTGGAAGAGCACGGGAGCTCCATAAGGAGCTTTCGAGGGGCAGATGAATCCTGACTCTAGTAAGTCTTCCAGTTGCTTTCTAAGTTCCGCTAGCTCGGGAGGGGCCATACGGTAAGGGCCTCGAGCAGGGGGCCTCGAACCAGGAACAAGTTCAATCTCGTGATCCACAACCCTCCTAGGAGGAAGCACCTTTGGGAGCTCTTTGGGGAGGAGGTCCTCAAATTCCGTGAGAAGCTTATCTAAAGCTGCGGGGATTTCATGAGGGGCTTCATCTTCTTTCACTGATAGAGTAGCAAGGAATGTGGGTTCGTTCCTTTTCAACCCCTTTTTTAGTTGCATTGCCGAAAGGAGGGGGCCTTTAGACCCTTTTCTCATCTTGCAAGTCTTGAGGAGGCAAGGGTGTTGTCCAGCTACTAATACTGACCCCAGATGGGGCATCGGGACAGCTTTACTTGCACGTAGGAAGTCCATACCGAGTACAAGGTTAAAGTCATCCATGGTGGCTACAGTGAAATCCAGGTTTCCGCTCCAGTCCCCCAGCTTTGTTGGGATGTTCCTTGCAACCCCATGAACTGGCTTGGCGGCTGAGTTAACAGCTTTCATACTACCCCCTTCTTGAATCGGCTTCAGCCCCAATCTTCGAGCTTCTCCTTGGGATATGAAGTTATGGGTGGCCCCGGTGTCAATCATCGCATTGCCCCTCCTCCCATTCACCAACACTTCTACATACATCAACTCAGTGTTTTTGGACCTCTCCTCGGGCTCTTCCTTTCCCATGGCGTACAACATGTGCACCGCGCCCAGCCTTGAGGGCTCTTCCTCATCAGGTTCTACTTCGCATGCTTCTTCGGTCTGTTTTGACTCCACCGTCATCGCCGATAACTTCTTTTGGAGACTATCGATTTCTCCCTTATGACGGCATTCGAACCACTTGTGAGGGCCCCGACAGAGGATGCATGTTAGGGGTCTGTTCCCCGTTGAGAAGGTTGATGTGCTTCCCTTACTTGATGAAGAGGAAGCTCCACTCCTTCTAGAGTCGTCCCCCACAATCTTGTTGTACCTACTCCCAACATTGTTTGAGCTAACTTGGGAGGTGGGGTGTTGGCTTCTAGGAGTGCTTGTTGCTTGTCCATTGTTCCCCTTCTTCTGATTAGGGCCCTTATCGGGTGAGTAATCCATTAACTTCTCAGCTGCTGCTATAGCACCGGCTAGAGTGTCTATCTTTTGGCACCAAATCTCACGTTGCGCCCAATCCTTCAAACCTCGCACAAAGTTGAACAACCGATCCTTCTCTGACATATCTTGGATCTCTAACATGCACGCACAATATTCCTTCACATATTCTCGAATGGAAGTCTTGTGGTGTAGGGTGGTTAACTTTGTGCGAGCCACGAACTCGGTGTTATCCGGGCAGAACTGGTTCTTGATCTCTTTCTTGAGATCCTCCCAACTATCAAGCGTGATTCGTTTTGCTTGAATGTCGGCATATTTGGTGCGCCACCACAACTTCGCGTCCTCCACTAAATACATGGTGGCAGTATCCACCTTGAAGGGATCCTCTATTTGACGAATCCGGAAGTATTGTTCCACGTCAAAGATGAAGTTGTCGACTTGCTTCGAATCTCTTGCCCCATCAAAGGTTTGGGGCTTGGGCGGCTTTATCTTTGCACCCCCACTGCCCCCAAAGCCTTGAGGAGCATGCATAGTTGCACACTTGTCGAGTGCCTCATCAGCTAGTGCCTGTACACAATTCAGTTGCTCCAACAGTCCATCTACTGTGGAACGTAGAATGCTGATTTCATTATCCTACTTAATCACAATATCTTCGAGCTTGGGCACCCTTTCCTCTAGGAAGGCCCATTGTTCGGACTTGCCCTCAAGCCAAGCCAGCCGTTGTTCGAAGGTGTATTCGAGATTATCTTCCATCACTGGCGTGCTACTTGAACACGAGTTTAAGCAACGATGCAGCGTTGGCTCTGATACCAACTGTCACGGTCCGAGTGGTTTGACACCGGATCGTGCGGCGCACTCTTATCTTTTAGAAACAAGAACGCAAGCCTAGAGTGAGAGAGGTTCGTGGGCACACAGCAACACGGACCAAAGGTATCTCAATGAGGCAATCGTTAGTAACGAGTGCAGGGTCGGGGCTTGTGACGACCGATACTTCGAAGCGGGCACAAGCGGAACCGACAAGGATGTAGGCGTCTTTGAGAGTCTCTTGGTTTGGTGGGGAGCTTTAAAACAAGGCAAGCACAATATCTATAAAGGCTTAAATCAACACACAAGTCTTAAAGCAAGGCAACCCGAATAGGAGCTTTTTCATTCATTCAACTATCGCTCCATATAGAGCTTTATATTGCTTACATGGAGAAATACTAGTGAACAGTGAAATGACAGTAACACAATAATCTCCTCTAGCGCCTAAACTACTTACACGAAACTAAATAAAGACATAAGAAAGCAAAATACAGATGAAAGAGGTCCTAAAACATAGGCTAGTCTCATTCGATACAGCAAAGACAAAAATGGCGTTAGTTGGAGTGAAGCAACTGAGTCTATCTTTTCCTATTTTTGGGTGTTCCTCCAATCCCAGAATGCCCGCCATTTCTCCAAATAATCTCCCTTCTTCATCTTCCACCTATTCCCCTTTTCAATTCCAGAATATTCAAGTCCTAAAAACCAGAAACCCAAAATGGTTTACTTCAAGAATCCATTGTTCTGCAAATTCTGGCCCAATTACTCAGGTTTCGGATTTTTTTTATTTTTAATTACCTCAATTTCTCGTTCTGGGTATTTTTTTTTTTTACTTTTTTTTTTTAAAAAAATTTGATTTTCATGGGTGTTGAAATTATTTGCAGAAAAATGCAATTGTGAAGGAGAGAAGCGTTTCTGTCATCCTTCTTGCTGGTGGCAAAGGCAAGAGAATGGGCGTATGCATTTCTCCTACATTTTCTATTAATATATATTTATTTGTTAATTTTAAATAAATAATTGTAATTATTATTATTACTGTTTACTATATCTGTGTGACCAACATTAGAGTTGTTGGAACCTTTGCAAACATTTTAAGTCCACAATTAATGTGTTACCCTAAAAGTTTTCAATTCTTGTATCAATTTCTGTATATGATTATACGTTATGATCAGGCTATGAAGGACATCACGAATTTACAAAGAAATATTACCAATTAGTCAATGCCTATATACATGATGAATTACTACTCAATTTAGGGGTTTGTTACTGCTAATTAGGAGCAAGTGTGTGTCTGTAACACGTGGTTTGTCTGTTGACTCGTGAATTATTGACAAAAGTAATAAAACTCTGATAGGAAGGCCGTGGAATGTGCACATGATTACCTTAGACATTGCCAGGATAAGGCTTTTATTGGTGAATGGTTAGCTATGAGTATGATGATGATGAATGAGATGCCTTTACTCGTCCTCAATTCAAATGTTCATTATGTGCTGTATGCTTACTTGTTTTTTTTATTTTTTTTATTTTTATTTTGTTTTTAACTGCTTATCTTGTATAAATATGTGTTAAAATTTGTATTTCTTGGTTCTTTACTATGTGCCTTTTTCAGCTATCATTCTTACACTTCTACTGTTATTTTTTCCTTTGCAACAGTCAGACATGCCGAAGCAGTACCTCCCACTCCTGGGCCAGCCTATTGCATTGTATAGGTATATAAAAACACAATGGACAAGATCTGGTGCCTATTACCCATTGGTTTTTATTTGTGTATCACGAGAATGATGAGATATACTGGAGCATTTACTGTCAAACAATAAAGGATAACGTTTAATGTCTACTACATCTGGGTGTTTATATGTCATCTACTCATCATTTTACCTCTTAATATGGTTTGGTTAATCTCTTGGAGAGTTCTGTTGAATGTTAATAAATGTGACCTTAAGTTTGATAGTTCACTTTCAGAATGAGGATTTTTTTCCTGGTTCCTGTATTGTAGTGTTGTGCTTGTGTGAGGTTATGCAACGAGTGCTACAGTTATCCTCTATTGCTTTTTCAGGACCTAACATTTGCTTAGGTTGTCCTATAGCTGTCACTTTTTGTAAACTTAGCTGGTTTACGGTTGTCAAGTTTTGTTCTACATTTGATTAGGTAGTGGATGCTGTTGATTAGTATGGTATTGTACTCCAACATTACTATGGCAATGATGTACCGATATACTTTGTGATGTTTGTAACAAGTTTGCTGGTTGGAGTGTTGGACATATAAATGTAGTAAGAAACCTATGAAAAGAAGAGTAAGGTTGTCATAGGGAGGTTTTGGTCATCATGGTACAATCTTATCAGCAGGGCTAGGGTTGGATATAACTGCTGGAAAGTGTGTGTGTGTGTTGGGGGAAGGGGGGTGGGGGGAGGTTCTGAATGAAGGATAATTGAGGTGGAATGTGACGTTCAGACATCTTATTCGTTGCAAGGGTATGTGATTTTGAGGGTCCTGGAATATATTTCCCCTTTCTATAGTTTATATATATATTTTTGTGAATCATTTATTCAGATCACATGAATATAAACTGTTATTTTACTTTGTGTCTTCTATCTTCTAAACATTATGCTAACAGAAATGATAAATTCTTGTGGCAGAAGTGCTCTTTGAAACTCCCTAATTTGTCAATGTAGAATGTATGAAGGAATAAAAAAATAAAAATATCAATGTAGAATATGTGATCCAACTTTCTTTTCTTTTTTGCCTCATTTACTAGCAATAATTTTATAATTGTGCATCTGTGTGTAGTTAACTAATGTACTTGCATTTTTTCAGCTTGTATACTTTTTCACAAATGGTTGAAGTGAAAGAAATTGTTGTAGTTTGTGATTCATCTTACAAAGACATTTTTGAAGGTCCAATTGCATATTCCTAACCTATCTTTTCCCTGCATTTTGTTGTTATAGTAGAGGATAGGTAAGAAAAGTTTTTCTTTCTTTCAGACACCAAGGACAAGATACATGTAGATCTCAGATTTACTGAACCTGGGAAGGAAAGACAAGACTCTGTTTACAGTGGACTTCAGGTGCAAAATAATAAATCTTAATTTATTGTCATTTTTACATTTTGTAGCACATTTTCACATGCTCTTTTTACTTCTACTTTTTTCCGTTTCTTCTACGATTATGTGGCTAAAGATGATTGAAGTGTTTAAGTGGGCATTGAAGTATCGGATAAGGATTTCATACATTTGTTGAATTGTGAGAGCTCTCATAGCAGAAATGTGACATCTACTAAATAATTTGAAATTGATCTCTCACAAATAAATACTCATTTTAGGGAAGATAAACAAATTAGCCACTATGAGGCGACGAGATAACGACACTTGGCGTTCTAACTTTTCGCCAAGTGTCGCGCCACGTAGGATAGAGTTATATAGAATTCAATTTGTAGGATAAAAAAGTAAATTTAGAATTCTATTTTCAATCAAATTTGGATAGAATTTTAGGATAAAATTGTTAATTTAGAGTTTTATTTTCGATAAAGTACCAATATTTCATATGTACAAATTAAATTATAATTTTATTAAAAAAAAAATTATAACACTCATAAATTATCATATAAATTTATTTTTGTATCATAGTATTTTTTTGGAGCGAAGGAATTAGCTCAAAATGCACCACATCCATTATTTATAATATATTCTAATCAATTAAAACAATATATTTTACAATCTAATATAATTTTATTACTGTATGTAGACCTGTCAATCGTAAAAAAACTTTCTTTGATTAAAGTCTTATGATGTGAATTATATTGAACTAAATTACAACACTTGGGCATCTAGATATTATAATAACTCAAAAGCTAATGAAACAATGGTTCACATCAATACTAATATTTTAAAACAGGAAGTTAGAAGAGGTGCTAATCCTGTTTAATATATATATATATATATATATATATATATATATATATATATATATATATATATATATATATACTACCTCTGTTTTATAAAATCTGCAACAAAGAGGCATTCACATTTCCCAAGGCAAAATTTGGTAAAAGTGTATTAGCAAATTAGCAAAAATAAGGGTAGGTTAAAGGTAAAAAAAAATTAGGATGTTATGATTAAGCCACCTCTGCCCCCACCAAGCCACCCACCAGAATGCCCACCCCAACACCCAAAATGGCCACCCTACCACCGCCAACCATGGTATAAAAACAAGGCCGCGACGTCTTGGTTTGGCCGTTTTGTAAAGGAAATTCAATTAACCTAACCGAGATTGTCCGCATCAACAAGGGGTATTAAAAAACCCCGTGATTTTGTCCGAATCAAACATTTTAACCCTAAATCACCCCGCATTGAAAGTTACATCTATTATTTCACACAAAAGTTACTTTCTATTTAAAGATATAGTGAAAGATTCCCCCATGTCTCCCCACTAATGGCTCAAATCTTTTATTATGCCCCCATATCACCTCACTAATGGCTCTAATCCTCTACTATCTTGAAATCAAATTTGCATCGAGACAACTGTGACATGGTCCGCGATCAACGCATCATAAGCATTCCCGCGACACCACAACCATTCCTGTGATCGTAACCGAAACCGCATTTTCGAACCATGCCGCCAACATCCACATTCTCCAATCTCCACCACTAACATCACCTTCGACCACCCTACCACCGCCAACACCCACATACTCCAGCAGCAGGACCACCGCACAACCACTGCGCAACCACCTTCTCACGCACCACCACAAGATCTAAAACCACTAAAAACCCACTGTGCGTTCTCACCCACCACCACCAACATCAGAAATCCCCACGCACCATAATCACCAAAAACCCCACCCCACCTAACTCGCAGCCACCAACACTTACCCACCACGAAGATACCCCACACCCACCCTGTAACCACGATCTTTTCACCATTTTTGTTTTAGATATGAGATTTCAATGAGGAGCAGCGGCGACTTTGACAAGGGAAGCAAGAAGCCCAAGCGCCGACGACGATTGTCACGAGTAAGGGACGACGACTGCCACGAGTAAGAGGCGGCGACTGGACCGAGTGAGAGGTGGCGACTAGATCTGAGCGGTGGTGATGGAGTGTGTTGCTAGTGGCTGAGAGGGAGGAGAGAGAAAAGTGTGTTGTCGGTGGTGGCTGAGAAGGAGGAGAGAGAGATGTTGGTGGTGGATGTGGGTTTATGAGGGAGGAGAGAGAATATGGGTTAGGGTATTAATTGTGAATAAATTAATTTTGGTTAATAAGTTAATAAGTAGTTTATTGAAGTTAAGTAAGGGTATGTTGGTAAATTCACACAAAAATATTTACTATATTAGGAAAGTTTTTTTTGTTGCACATAATGTGTAGTTTTCGTTTTGGGAAATTGTTGAAGATTTTATGAAACGGAGGTAATATATATATATATATATATATATATATATATATATATATATATAACATCTCTTCTATTCCAATTCTCATTATGTTAAAAAATCATGCCTTTTCAAAGTATAGTTTTTTTTTTTTATTATTTTTTTTATTTTAACCCTATCCAACAAAAATAAACTAAAATAAATCTTCTCTTCTATCTTAAACGCTTTAAATTTCAATTCTACAAAAAGAAGTCACTTGTGCCTCTTGGTTCACTTTTAAATATAAGAATGTTAAAAATTAGTTTATTTTCACCCTCACTATTTTCCTCTTTGTTTCTTCCTTCTCTCTATTGTTCCTCTTTTTTTTTACCCTCAATCTATAATTTTAATTGTTTTATTTTAAGTAAAATAAGCAATTGATGTCAATATGTACATCAAATACAAGATGAAATGGTGGTCTTGCATTCAAAGAAGCATTGATAAGTAAATTTTCTCAACTTTGTATACAATTTATTTTAATCTTTTATTTTTCAAATTTGGTCCATAATTAGTTTTTTGTCTTTAAATTTGATTATTTTATGTTTAATTATTTTATAACGAATCCTCCTTTATATATTCTTCTAAATTGTATTAATTTGTGTTTTGGAACAAAAGGTTTGTATAAGTATTTTGTAAAACAAAAGGTTTATATAATTTTTTTCCCTTTTAAGTATCTAAATTTTTTTAAAATTTATTTTTGATGTACAATATTTTTAATTTTGTTACTCAAATTGCCTGTACATTAACATCGTGGTTTTTATTTATATTTCATATTTTGTTTACAATTTGTTCACAAAATGCTTTTTTTTTTCTTTTTTTTTTTTGATAATGATTTTTGTGTTTAGTTAATTTTTAAAGCAAATTTTTGTTTAGAATTTTGTAGGGATCTTTTTAAAAAATTTGTAATTTTATTTATTTATTTATTTTAACGTGTTCAAAGTTAGATTGTAGTTTTTCTTTCAAAAAAAAAAGTTAGATTGTAGTTTTTATTTTTTTAAATTAATTTTCGTTTTATGCTTTCATATTTATTTAAAAACACTTTTTAATTTTAATTTTGATTATTTTTTACTAAGTTGTTTCTGAGTTTTTTTTTATTTTTATCTTTTTTCTATGATTTAAACGAATTGTACAATAGAATCTCATCTAGCTTTTGAAAAAGATCATATATATATATATTTTTTTTTTTTTATTTTAAATGTTTTAAGATTTGCAATTTGTGTTTTATTTCAATTCTCAATTTCTTCTATAACTTCGTTTCGCCTCTTGAAAATCTAGATTAATGTATTTGTGAAGAGATTGCATCTCTTCCTCCATAGCAACCAACTCACTCTCCATATCCTTGTCTTTGATAGCTTGTTTGAAGGTAACTGACTCATGATCCTCCATAGAGAGTGCTTATTCTACTAAGTTTACGTGCTAGGTCTTGAACTGATTTATAATTCCTCTTTGGTCTAGTGGATGCCAAAGAATCTTGGTGTTGTAATAAATGTGCATTTTCGTGCTGAGATCAAGATCATCCTCCTCCTTATCTTGAGTAACACCAGGATGCTATCTCCACCACTTAGTATTTGAAGTCATTCCAACATCACCATCATTAGGCACCATAACTTTAGATAAAGCTACCAGAGTTTTTCATAAAAGGTCACATCCTTGCTGATAACAATTTTAGAATCCTCTACACTCCAAAGACGATATCCTTAAACCCCTTTTGTATACCCTGTTTGGATACCTAAAAAAGTTTGCTTTCTTGGCTTTTTCATCAAGTTTGTCATCCTTATCATGACAATAAGTTGTGCACGCAAAGTATCCCGTAGTCTGACCACACCTATAAGGCGTGTCATTATCTAATAAAAATATGGGGATCGATTTACTATTTAACAAGTTGTTGCAATCGAACTCCTCACCATTCTTTGCCTAACCTAGAATTAGAGCGCAAACATGTTGCCTTCTCAAGTAGTGTACATTGTGGTGTGTCTCTAAGTGTCTAGTGTCTCACAAATCCTTCCTTTTCACAAAACTCCTTGAAACAGGGTATAAAACCTCGGTCGTTATGTCGCGAAACAGCCAAGAACCCGAGATGTAACATAGTTTTGAAGAGAAAATAAGTCACATCTAACGTTACTCACACAATTTCGAACATAAAACCCCAAACTTTAAGTTCTTTACCGCTTTTCCAGCAAGGATTTCCGGCTCCTCCATGAAAGTCGACCACTTTTTCTAAGTTAGACTGTTTTTTTCTAAATAAAAGGTTTTTTTTTTTTAAATAAATGCATGATAGCTAGAAGATTTTTGTAAATCCTTATACTTTGACTAAACCCATTACCTCACCCTACCCCAGCTCTTTAATTTTGTCTTCTTTTTTCTTTCCCAAGTGACTCGTTTTTCAATTAATAACTAAATCTAGTAGTCTTCTAGCTCACAATTAGAGTTTTAATTTTAAAATATACATAATTCCATACTTAGTAAATAAAAAGAGTCTCCATTTTTTAATGAAAAGGGTTATAAAAGGCTACTTCATTCCGTATTTTGTACTCATATAAGAATATAAATTTTCTAAAAATTATGAGAAAATCAATATAAAAAACATAGAATAAAATAAAATTCTTCTGCGATAACCGTGATGCAATCCGCGATCAACGCATCAATTCTGTTATCGAATTACCGCAACCGTTTTTGCGATAACGATCAAAACCGCATTTTCGAACCTTGCCTTGAAAGCTCCCTTTATGTATTCAGTACCATTATCAGACCATACAATATTTAGCTTTCGACCTTCTGTTCTCACTATTGCTCTCCATCGCCGGGAAATGTCGAATACCTTAATCTTATGCTTAAGAAAATAAATCCAAGCATATCTAGAATTATAATCAACAAATGTAACAAAGTACGTAGAACCACCCATGGAAGCAAGTCAAACTTAAACATCTGTATGCGCATAGTTTAGAAACCCTGTACTTTTATGCTTGCTTGTAGAGAACTTCATCTTGGGTGCTTTTCCATACACACAATGCTCACAAAATTCCTTTCTTGTGGCTTCTTCATGTTCTTTAACAAACCTTTGTCTCTAAGCAATGATAGACCCTTTGCCGACATATGCCCAAGGCGCATGTGCTATATTCTCATGCATTTTATTTGTTCTTTACTTCCATCGATTCTAAAGGCTAATCATGTGTAGCAGTTATCCCCAAAAGAGGATAAAGATTACCATGATGAATCCCCTTCATCCTACCCAGAAACAATGAACAACTTTAAATCTTAATTATCCAAGACTATTTTGCATCCATTTTTCTCTCATAAACCAAGAGAAATAAGGTTCTTTCGCAAATGTGGGATATGTCGCACAACCTTAACGCTTTGTTTGGATAGCAAAGAAGGAAGGAAAAGAAAGGGAGGGAAAATGGAGGAAGGGAAGGGAAAAGAAAGGGAGGGGGAGGTGAGCTCCATTTTCCCTCCAAATCTCTCCAATTTTGGAGAGATTATGGTTATTATAGAGAAGGGGAAAATGGATCCCTCCCTCTACTTCCCCTTCCTTCCCCCAATCTTTTACCCAAACAAGAGATTTTGTCCCCCTCCATTTCTCTTCTCTTCTTTTCCTTCCATTTCTTCCTATCCAAACAAAGTGTAAATGTTATTATTGTTACATCATGCATCTTGACTTGGATAGTACCTAACCCGATTGTTTTGCTACCATGATCGTTTCTCATCAAACCAATGCCACCATCCTGTCACTGTTTGGGCGCATACGGTGTGATGCTCTTGAAACAATCATCCATTTACCACATATTTCATTGCATAATAATTATCCTCGTTGTGGAATAATATGGTTATAATAAACAAACTAATTAATCCTCTAATTTAAGCATTATACGTAAATGTGAAAAGAGAAGAAAAGTTGTAGGAGGGAAAAGAGGAAATGATTGCAGAATAGTCGAAAGAAAAATATATATGTTCTAGTGTTTTGTTTAGTAAAAGAATCTAAGCCATTCTTTATGTAGAGCGAATAAGATGTTATAAATTGTTTAGGTTGTAATGTAGTTATTAATCATCATTCACGTCAGAAAAGGTTAGGATACAATTCTAAGATTGTTTAATATCGTACAATTTTTATTTCCTACACAGTGGTTGTTGTATATCCCCAACACATTTTTTTATTTGTGAGATATCGGCTTTATACTATCTAGTTGAAGCCACCTTTTCACCGTGAGAGTTGTAACAATTGATATCGAAGCCAATGTCAAAATCTTAAGTGGTAAAATTTTATAATTTGGAAAATAAATATAATGACATCGACTAGTGGAACGGTACAATCAAGCAATTAAATGGGAAAAATGTTTTTTTTTTCCTATTGGGGGATACAAATGAAAAATTTGCTTGGATCTTAAAAATTGCACAAGATATTCACGGGAACAAGTACATGAGCATATGAAGGATGAGGATTGGGAATTGTTATATCTTAAAGCACGTGCAACCATAATCTTGCACCTTGAGAGGGATGTTGCATTCTTAGTAAATGGAGAAGCAACGACCTCTGGTCAAAGTTAGAGACAAACTTTATGATGAAAGCTCTAACAAATCGGATGTACTTAAAATCCAAATTGTATAAATGTAAGATGGAAGAAAGCAAGATGCAAGATTGAGTATATCAATAAGTATAATAGGATTATATCATACTTAAAGATATAGTTGTGAAGACAGATGAGGAAGACTAAGCACTCATGCTATCACTTTCATTACCAAAGTCCTATGAAAATCGGGTTTAAACATTAATGCTTGTGGGTGATACACTAAACTTGGATAATACTAGAATGTTGCTTTTAGCGGATGATCTTTAAAAGGTTGTTGTAAGTGGAATGATGTTTATTAATGGAAGAGAATATAATGAACACGCTAAGGGATTGTTTTAATCATTCCTATCCCTGAACTTGTTTGTTGTATTCTCTTCTATTACTAGACATCATTCCACTTGTTAAATACTCTCATCCATGGTTAGAGTATCACCCTAAAGCATTTATGTTTGAACTAGATTTTCACATGATTTTGGTAATGAAAGTAATAGCATGAGTGCTTGGTCTTCCTCATCTACCTTCACATCTATATCTTTTAAATCTAATATAATCCTATCAAACTTATTTATGTACTTCCAGATTGAGTTGCCTTTTTCTGTCTTGCATGTCTACAATTTGGATTTTAAGTACATTCTGTTTGTTAGAATTTTCATCATGAAATTTGTCTCTAACTTTTCCACATGTCAGCGGCCGTTGCTTCTTCTTTTACCAAGAATGCAACATCCTTCTCAAGGCACAAGATTATGGCCGCTCGTGCTTCAAGATCTAACTCTTCCCAATCCTCATCCTTCATGTCCTCGGTTTTTTCCCGTTCATGTCTTGTGAAACTTTTGTGATATAAGAAAAGTTATTCATTAGCATCGTCCAATAAGAAAAATCATTTTTCCAATTGAATTTAGGAAAACTGGAAACTAATAATCCCACCTTTGAGTTTTCTGCTCAAAACAATCCTACCTTTTCGAAATCCCAAAATAATCCCACCTTTATCCCCTATTTGCTCAAAATGATCCCTTTTACACATAACCTGTTTCACCCGTTAATAATTTTATTTCTTAAGCTCTCCTCCCTAACCTCTTCAATGGCAGCTCCACCATTATCACCACCCCCTCCATATCCACCACCACACCACCATCTGACCCAATCTTGCAAGCAGCCCTTCCACCCGATTCCGCCTAGTCCACCACCTAACCCACCTAACCCCACCTAGTCCACCACCTGACCCATCGAACCCCGCCTAGTCCAGCAGCCCTCCCATTCGACCCCGAAACACCGGAATTATACCCGACCTCAGACCTTCATTGTCGGAAAATCCTACCTGACCCTCGCAATAAATCTTGGACACTAATTGGGTCTTCCATTTAAAGCACCATGCAATTGTTGAATATTCTTCTTCTTTTTTTTTTTCTTGCTATTATTATTATTGCAATTGTTATTGTTGTTGTCACTCTTTCTTTTGGGTTTATGACATTTGAGATGGTCTACAGACTCTACAATTGTGGAGTTTAAGTGGTTTGATGAAATTGCAAATAACCATTTACAAGTTTGAATGGTCTGGGTCTGAAATTGCAAATTGCAATTGGTGGAGTTTGACTGGTTTGGAATTGTGGCTCAGGTGGGATTTTCTGATTGAGGGGTATGGTTGGGAGTACTCTGTGTTAGGCTCCACCAAGGGGAGGTAGTCCGGTAGGGAGGTACTTGGGGAAGAGGGAAGAAGACGGGTTTTTTTTTTTTTTAATTAATCTTACTTTTTTTTAAAAAAAAAAAAACCAATCATAAGGTGACACGTGGCAAGTCACCTTTTAAAACAGGTTACTAATTTTACAAACTGGTAAATGGCTTGTTTTAAGCAGATGGGGGTTAAAGGTGTAATTGTTTTGGGATTTCGAATAGGTAGGATTGTTTTGAGCAGAATATCCAAAGGTGGGATTATTAGTTTCCATTTTTCCTTGAATTTTTCAATTTCATATTTCCCTAGTAGATGCTATTATAGTTATTTTAAAAATCAAAAAATTTTACCACTTAAGATTTTGACATTGTCTTTGAATCTTTGATACCAATTTTTAGTGCTCTCCAGCAGAAATGTGGCATCTACTAAATAATATGAAATTGATATCTCACAAATAAATAAATTTTGTGGATAAACAAACTACCACTATGAAGGAAATAATATATATAACGTAAGAAAAGACTTTCTATATTAAACTCTTATGAAGTGAATTGTATTGAACTAGATTACAACACTAAGCTTCTAGATAATTATAATCCCTTAAAAGCTAATGAAACAATGGTTCTCATTGTTTCTATAACAACCAGTAATTTAGTTTCCTACAATTAGCCCTCTCCTTAACAATAGAAAATACCTTTTGTTTTCTCCTTATATTTTTCTTATCCTTTTACATTTCTCACATCTAGTGTCTAGTGTCTGACACAACTATGGAAGACTAAATGAAGAATCGAAGTAACATAGCCTGCAGTATCAGAAAACTAACCTAAAGTTCACTTGTAAATGCAGTTCAAAATTGATGAATATGTGATTATCATTGTTCTCATTTGATCCTATATATAAGGGACACAACAATGGGGGGAGCCAATAGTTGCATCTTACGTTAATCCTTAAAATATTTCATGGTTAGAGTACTTTGTGTAGCACTAAAGCATGTCCTCCCCCTCACTCGTTGTAGGTAAAAGTATGAGAAATATGTAGGGGACAATAAAAATGTGATTTGATGCAACTCAGCATACGGAGTACTAGCTTGGGATTTATACTGAATAACTTAGTTTATGCTTTATAGTTTGGTAAAGATTATTATTTCTTGTAAATGGAGCTGTTGACAAATCTTGGGTAGACTAATACTAATCCTTCAGTGCAGGCCATTGATTCTGATGCTGAACTTGTATGCATCCATGATTCTGCTAGGCCTTTGGTGTATTCTCAAGATGTAGAGAAGGTAGTTTTCTGTTATTGGGCTATATATAACTAGCTTTCTGAAAAATAAATTTGATTATTATTTGAAAGGTTGGTCTCCATCAGTTGCCTACGTACTTGTCATCATTGCCCAATCAGGCCACTTTTGATTATATATATTCTAAGGAACTCATAGGAGTTTAATGGCCACATATAATACATTAATACCTAAAATAACACTTTTGTTTAAAAAAACAAGATTGTTTATAATGCCATATATGGAGATGTGAAACTAACTAAAAATGTTGATGAACTAGTTAACTAAATTAATTAGTTAAAAAATAAATAAATATATAATGCTAGAATTGTATGTAGCAGAAAATTTTTCCCTACCTTTTAAAAAGTTTGAGATAACTCTTATAAATAGTGTTTTGACAATTTTATCCTCTAGAATATTTATATACTTATTCTCACTCATTAATGTTGATTGCATATTATTTTAACTGTGATGAATAGTGTGTAGACATTTATACCCCTAAAAATATTTGTATGTATATTCTCTAACTAATGCTGTCAACAACTTTGTGACATAAGGTCAAATCGAAAAAGCTATGGTGCGCTTAGCTGCCCTATTAACTTTTAAATACATTTGGAGATAAATTAATTGTGACAGTTTGATCTTGAAAATCATGGGATCCTTGGTTTCTAATTGGAGGCTAATGTTGTTTGCACTTTGCAGTAGTAAGTCATTGAGGAGATTTTGATTTTGTAAGAAATCTCCCTATTGGGTTTTTTCTTCAGTTTGACCAAATGAACATACTTGCCTCTCTTTTTTTCATTTTTATATTCTTATTTGATGGTTGCGGGAGGTTAGATTTCTGCTGAGATACCTTTAATTGTTAAAATTTCTATATGTAGGTTCTTAAAGATGGCTGGCTGCATGGAGCAGCTGTACTAGGTGTGCCTGTCAAAGCTACAATCAAGGAGGTAAACTATAGCCTTGCTGGAAAATATCTGTAATGGTCATGACTTCAAATGATAGATTGAAATTTTGAAGATGAAAGTTAATTGAAAAAATGATAATTGATTATAGTGCTGATGTAATTCAATACTTAAATTTAACATGCAATTCCAGGGTCCAATACCTCCGAGTGGCTAGCTGGACATTCCCAACTACAAGCTATAGCAAAGAAAAATTCTTACTATTCTCCTCTATATATAGATAATCTGCTACCTTTACCTCTCTACTCCGACTACCTGGAAATTTATTTCCAAGCTACCTCATAACAAATTTTTATATGCATTCCTTATTTTCTCCCCACACCTAGATTAATCTATTACAGTACAAGTGAAATTTCAATGAACTCAGGATTGTCAAAATTTGATCATGCTATAAAATTGCTTTTTTTGCAGGTTACCTAATGATTATGTGACTAGCCTTTTCTTTTTATGCACGTCCTTGATAGAATCCACTGTATTTAAGCAAGAATGTTGTTTCAAATTTTTTCTCATCAGAACTAATAACCCTGGACTTTTTTTGTGCCTAGAACTATTCTTTGTTCTGTTTGCATTCTTTCTTGACATCCAGTGACTTTTCATAGTGATGTAAATAGCAGACAGTCTTAATTTAGAAGACCCTTTGATGATTCGAGTTATTACAGGTCACTTGCCTAATATTCCTTCAGTTCAGCAATCAATAACAGCAGATTTAACACACTCTTAACTGGTTGGTGAATTGTGATGATCAATTTCCTCTGATGTCCTGCAGGCAAGTAACAAGAGCTTTGTTGTGAAAACTCTGGATAGGAAAGCTCTTTGGGAAATGCAAACTCCTCAGGTACCAATACCATAGATTAAATTGAACATATAACTGGTAGCTAAAGAATTTTGCATCTATGCTTGTCTTCCTCTCGCTTATATATGCATCCTACATCTCCACCTCAGGTTATCAAGCCTGCATTACTAAAGGAAGGCTTTGATCTTGTGAATAGGTACTTTGTTTTACTCCTGTGGACTCATGTCATTTATCATATGAAATACCTACACTTCAATGACACTAGAAATTGTTCACAGCATAACTAAGTTTGAGCTTGAGAACTTTTTGGAAGATTTCACACAGAATTTGGTTGCCTAACAAAATTAAATACAAAATTAATGTCTAAACTTCTTGTCGCTTGTTGGAATTTATTGTGATTGTGGATTAAACTTTTTTTGTAATTTTTAAACTTATTTATTTTGTATGAACATAGTGGCTTACTGGAACATGATTTAACTTATCTCAACTTTTGTATGAAATAAGTCGAGCAGAAAAAGAAAAAAAAAATAAATAACCGAATGAATTTGTAGGCATTAGTTAATAAGACTAATATACAAACTTTGTTTATCAGCCTTCAAAAACAGGGAAAATCGCTGATATACAAGATATGCAAAGTTTGTATATCAGCCTTATTAACTTGAATATTTTCGCATCTTATTAGAGTAAAAGAAAAGAAGTTCAAGGTGCACCAGAAAAGAAGTTCAAGGTGCACCAGAAAATGACAGCTCCAATGAATTGGCTATTAATGATATTGCCTATGACATCTTTAGTGAGAATGCTGATTACGTATCTATTGTGGAACATCTTGGTCATCAAGTGTTAGTTACTCAGCTTTAGTTACTCATTAGTTTGAGGCTAGTAATGATATTTCCTATGACAACTTCTGTGAGAATTGAGAATGCAATCTATTCTAAATCGATTCATGATCCTCCATGATCAAAACATTTTGCTCAAAAATGTTCTGATTTATTAGTTCTCCACTAGACCTTTTTTGAAGAATTGATCGACTTTCATATGGCAGTAAGCCAGTAACTCGTTTCCTGTCTGACAAAATCATGTCTTATCGAAGATGATGATTTCTAGTCAAGCAACTTCTTTTATTTCTAAACTTCTATTATCATGGTGATAGATAAATTCATTGTTTCCTTAGCCATGCATTAGACAGAATTTGATAAAAGCTGGTGTTATATTGTTCAGAAAAGGACTTGAGGTTACTGATGACGTATCTATTGTGGAACATCTTGGTCATCCAGTGTTTATCACGGAAGGTTCTTATACCAACATCAAGGTATCAATTATTGTTTCTTTTCTCACATTTATAAATGATAGAAGCAAATGTGTTTCTCTGACCTATATATATTAATACTCCCTCTATTCTTTTTCGTTCCACACACTTTCCATTTTATGCCATTCTTTAATGTTTTACTCACTTTGCTTTATTTCACTTTGTACCATCTTACGGTTCAATCCCATAATAATTACACCTATTCATACTTTTTTTCTCTTACTTTATTCACCTTTTTCTTATTCAAACCCACTTTTTTACAATCTCTTTCTTACTTTATCCTACACTCACAAATATTCTTCAATAATTTCTTAAATTTTATACTTATAGTAAGTGAGTAGAACATAATAATGAAGTTAGTAAATAACGATTGTTGGACTTATAGTATAAGTGTATTCATGAAAATTCGGCTTATATATCCCTTTTTTTTTCTTTTCTATGCAGATAACAACCCCTAATGATCTACTACTTGCAGAGAGAATACTGAATCCAAGACCAAGCTCTTAAATATTATTTAATTGTCTTAATTAATATTCATCTTGAGCCTTCTTTAATCTCATGTCTTGGGGTCCTTTTCAAGTGTATCCTTGTCTTCCAATGCCAAAACGATAAAGGCTTTTGATATGGTGGTGATTGTTGATTTGTTTACATGCAAATTAATATGAGTACGCAATGGCCTAATTTTTTTTTATATATATATTTATTATTTTTACAAGGAAACGACTATTTTCTCTGTTCTTTTTCACTTGACTTGTTTTAATTAACACGTTTGCCAATGTAAAACTTAAACTATCAATGACTTTATTTCCCCATAAGTAAAATTTTATTTTATAATAGTATTTATTGAGATGAATTTAATAAGATCCCACATGAATATGTTATTATATGCATATAATTCACAAAATATGGTCAAATGATGAGTGGTGAATAGTGTAAAAGTCAAACGGATCAAGTAAAAAAGAATGAAGGAAGTATAACTTATTAAGGCTACCCATCAATGGGCGTACTCATTGGCCTGTTTTGTTGTCCATCTGCACTATTCTCCTTTAAAAGTCTTTGAATATTGAACATAGTTTACTCCCATTGTTTAAATTTGATACTCTTATTTTTGACTATTTATAATCAAAATATTACAACTTTGACCAAAAACTCACAATAATATGTTAATTCAATTTTATATTATTTGTAATGATTATATATTTTCTATCGACCATGGTATCCTTTGACACCAAAAGCTTAACCATAGTTGAACATAGATCTTGACCTTAGGTTGCAAACTTTTTACTTTGCATCATCGTGACTAAGTGCTACTTGGTTTATTTGGTGTTAACCACACACGTGTTTGTTCATTTTCTTTTTGGACTAACCTATGACCAAGGGTTTTTATTTCACATAGAATTTATTACAGACTTAAATCGAATAATATGTGGAAAAATCACAAAACTAGACCTAGAACTGTGCATCGTGTCATGGAAGATATGTGTAGACACCCAAATGTGTCTTCCCAAAACCAAACCCATTGATGAATACCTTTCATGTCATTTGATTATCGAACAAGGTGAAAGTGTGAAAAGTCTAGTAATGTGGATGTTTTTATTAAATATCTCTTTTTCTGTTTTCAAAAATGTTTCTTTTTTCACTAGATTTATGAAAATAGCCAGTTCAATTTGGTTTGGTCCATGATAAAGGTCCAATAATAGTTTAGTTGGATTAGGCTAAAAAGAGCTTTCCAACAACGATATATTATAAGCCCAATTCCAATGAATAAAGAAGAAGTTATGGATTAAATTAGATTTGACTCAAAATGATTTTACATGTGGCCTAATGATATAAAGGAGGGCCTATTAATTATTATTCCTAAAGTTATTAGGATTAATTTTAATTCTCTAGAAATATATAGAAGGTTCTTTTAATTCTACTGAGATTAGGATTGATAATTATTTTTTAAAGAGTTTTATTTTGAATAAAATATGTGATTTGTCACAAATATGATTAATCTACTTAACGCGGAAATAGCTGCTTAATCGTATTAAGAAGATGATTCTGTGTACAAAGCGCGTTTTCATTTTGACTTAGCGCAAGACGACAAAGCTGTCGCCTGGCGCTGCTCCTATCGCCTGGCGCTAAATCCTGTCGTTGGCGGTAGGAGGTATTTTTATTCTGAATATGACTTGATTTGATTCCGAGCTATTTTTTCTATAAATAGGGGTCGTATCTCCCCATTTTTCATCATTCTCAACCATCATCTCTCTCTCTCTCTATTCATTTTCTAAACCTTCCCTCTCACGAAATTGCTCATACGTTAGTTCTAGACACACCTAGCCAAGTTCGAAGTTGCCTTCACCCTAGACGTGAAAGGTTTATAATTTCTAAGGGTTTGGTCCCAAATCTCTATTTCAGTTATTTAATTTAATTTTTTATTATTTTCCTTGAAGTTACTAACGCGTGTATTTTGTTATTAGAAAGAGATACGAGGCATCCAAGTAAGTTGTTTTATTGATCTTTTGATATATAAATTATGCTTAGATTATTTGTTGATTCCTAGTTCATGTTAGGATGTTTTATTGCTTCCTAGTATCATGTTTAGGATTAACTAATATTTATGATATTATATATTATGATGCTTCCTATTTCTTTCCTAATATCATGTTAGTATCATGTTAAGGCTAAAGATTTGATTTTTATTGTTTAGTGACATGTCATGATTTGTTATTAATCTTGTTAGTATCATGCCTAGGATCTTGTTATTAATATTATGCTTTATTGTTAACATGGTTATTATGATGATGATTTATTATATTATGTTGCTTGATATTTATTATTGTTGTTGCTTGATCACGCCTTTTATGTATGCTTAAAGGGAATTTGTACTTGTAATCACGCTTAATAAGATAATTAATAATCTTGTTTAGGCTAATATGATTATAATTAAAGTGATCGCCAATAATAGATTTGTTTATGCATTAATATTCAACCAACATAGATTAAACAAGTTTAGGGGTTAACCTATTGATTGTATGTTAGTTAGAAAGCACACATGAATATGAGAAGAATAAAGTAGAGGCGGCCTATTTTTAGGGCAATAAGTTCAACCTCTTTTAGGTTGGATTTGTACCTCTATCCGCAAACTTCCAGTTATGGTTCCAGATCTATTGGAGTTAACGATCTCCTGGATCATTAAGGGGTTTAACCTTCACCCTGTGAACGTTTTACAAGTTCCTACAACTTTTTGGCGACTCTTTTACTCTAGATTCCTTCCCTTTGGACGCCACCATGCTTAAGTGTATGATCACAGTGGGGCTCAAGTGTGGGATGCTTGAAATATTCCCTATAATATGCCGCACCACGGTTTGCAGTGTCGTGGCACGGCGTTTTGTACCGTCTAATGGTATTCAGCACCGTGTCACGATAATTAGCACTGTGACACGGTGCCCAGGAAAAGTGCCCTGTAAGTCTTTCTTTTGGTTTTGTGCGTACTTATGTGGTTTGTAAGTCCGGTTTAGTGTCATAACATGCTTCCATAACCTCACTTAATCACTCACAAGTCATGTCAAGTTTACACACTTTTTTTTAGCCGTGCACCATTTCGTTTATGACCGTACATTAGGAGGGTCTTGCGTTTTCCATTTTTTTAGGGAGTAAGTCAGATGGAATCCTCCCATACATACATTTATTTTCTACAAAAAAAATTCAAAAAATTTCTTGCCTTTTTCCTTTTCCGGATAGGTCAAGGCTGAGTCTAGTCATTAAAGTTGTGGTTATTTTTAGTATCGCAACGCTTGGTCGAGCAGCAGAGGTAGATTGTTACAGTTCGAATCGTTACCTCAACAACCTCTTAAACTTAAGAGGTGTATGACAGGCTAAAGTCGTATCAGCCAATCAAAAGTAATTCCTAAATCCTCTAACTAATGTAGATAGGGAAGTAGGGTCGAATCCACAGGAAAACTAGTCTTTCTATTCCTAATTAATTATTATAATCTAAATTATTAAGTAACTAAATTATTATTGTAGCTAAGGAGAGTAAAGTAGGGAAGAGTAAGAATAGAGAAAATCAATGAATAAAAAACCTAGGGCATATGTTCACCAATAAATAATATTTCAGGGTAAAACATAGTAGTCAATCATCAATGCATCAAAACCAGATCATAAAAGGCTTTCGCTACGTATTACAATCACATAATTAATCTACCGGTATTAAATCTCATCTCTCGAATCTCGACTTAACCATTTATAAATTAACCTGCCTATTGAAACTAGGCTTAAATATCAATTCTCATCTCTCGAATCTTGAATCAATATTGCTAAACTCATACATAAAAGACCAGCGCTAATCTAGTTGCATAGCATTAAATCAATCAATAGGAAATTAATCAAGCATTGACAAACAACAATAATAAATTACACCTTCAAATTATTTATGGTTCTCCATAAACCCTAGAAAGGAAACTACTAGACATAATTGAACATAAACTAAATAAAGCAATTAAAGGAAACATGATAAAGAGCAAGAATTAAGAGAAAGAGAATAATAGTATTAAAGTAATAAGAAAACAAAATAATAAATCTTAATGTGAAAAATAGAGAAGAAAAGAAAACTAAACTAAAAGAAACTAAAAAAACTAAAACTAAGCTAATGACTTCCTAAGAAGTTACCTCCGTTAAACTACTACTCCTCCTTAAAAAAAGAAAAGCTAATGGGCCATCAATCCCACTAATAATAGAACTTTTATTAACTAAATCCTAGGTAAAGTCTAACAGCTAACCGCCTCACAAAAACTAAAGCTACTACTCCTCTGATTAATGAAAACCGCATATTCTTAGATGCATACTCATGTACCTAGAAATAGGTGTAACAACAACACAATATGAACATTAGCTTTTGAGAAAGTGAACATTAGCTTTCTTCTCCTCTATTTTTCTCCTTCGTTTTTTATTTTCTCTTTCCTCTGTTTTTTTTTTAATTTTCCCCTTTTTTACACTTTTTTGATTGAATTTATTTCTTACAACATGAAAGTAGTTATTAAGTATGAATTTTTGTGTGAATTTCGATTTTGTGCTTTAATTTCAATTGATTAAGGTTTATATGAATCTTTGAATTCAAAATTTTATACTTTTTTTTTTCTCCTTCCTTCTTTGATTCCTTTTTCCTCTATTTTTTTCTTCTATTTTCTTGTTTTTTCGATTTAACAATTGAATCTATTACTTACAATATGGAATTGGTTGTTTATCTGATTTTTTGAATTCAAATGAATAGAATGTTTTTAGCGTCGATCAATTTCATCTGATTTTCTGCATTTTTTTTTATCAATGAACATAATCATGCAAAATATGAACATATGCATAGGTTCCCTTAAATGTGAACATTAGTTTTTTAGAAAGTGAACATAGGCATAAAACATATGAACATATGCACTTCAGAAAGTAAACATAACAATTCAAAATATGAATGTAAGCATTGGTTTCCATAAAAGTGAATATAATAACCATTTAAAAGGTGAACATATGCGTAAAAAATATGAACATATGCATTTAAGAAAGAGAACATGTGCATAAACAGACTTAATGAGAATACTTATGAACAACATAAATTTACTATGAATATTTATATTATGAACATATAAAATATTATTATGAATATAAGGCATTTAATTATGAATATAAAAAATTGAAGAAAAAAAAAATATGATTATGAAACATATGCATCATAAGTATTAA